CAAACACGTCAAACCCAGAAGTGTGTGTCCCAGTTTGCAACCTTTTTTTGGATTACAACCCATATTTTTTTTTTGGATTACGAAAAAACAAATTGGAGGCCCCATTGATGAAAGTGTGCCTTGGGTTTCAACCTGTTTTGGTTTACAAATGGACCTCTGGAACGGATTGTGCTTGTAAACCAAGGTACCACTGTAGTCAGGTAAACTGACCCCTGCAGTTGTAATGCAATGAGTAACATGGGAGGGGAGATCTGTACTGTACTGCTGAAGACCTACAGGTGGTGTAGACTGGTTCAGAATTGAGTCCATACAGAAGGATTGAAATTCTGCATGGAGGGGGGGGGGAGAAGCCTAAACAGTAGCAAATGGACTGGCCCTCTGATGTAGCACAGCTGATAAGAGGGTATACGAGGAGCAGATTAAGTGAGACCACTTTGACAATCAAAGCAGCTGCTTCCTCACTTTGACGGATGCAGCATTTTGCATATTTTATACAGTGCCAGCATGTTAAGCATTAAAATTCTTACAACTAAGGTTTATGGCTGCATGTGCCACTTCGGGATCACGACTCAGCCGGGCGAGCGTAACTGCGGCTTTTTGCTGAACTCGTTCGCAAGCAGCTACTTCTGGTGAATTCCCAGATGACGATTTCTCAAACAGCATTTCCATTAAAACTTGAACACCTACAAAGGAGTGAAACACTGTTATAAGCATCCCAGGCTATAGTGAGATTATTCAGGACAAAAAGCAGAATTAAAAAAGGATGCAGCGATGGTTTGCATACCATTTCTTGGATTATTTCTGAGGCACACTGGTCCAGGACAGACATGTTTGCTAATATCGTCACAACCTAAATTAAAGAGAAACAACCACTTGAAATATTACATTTCACAATTCTTACCATCACCATGCATTTAAGACATGTCCTTCTAAGCTTGCCAATTAAGTATCAGCACCTTCGATTTTCTGAGGTATCTTTTATTGCACCTTTTCACAGTAGCTCAAGGGAAGCCAGATCATTATTTCCGCCTCCCAACCATGCTCTGTATTAGCTGAAGCTTCCATAGCAAACCCCACAGAGAGCACATTGTAGTAATCCAGCTCTAAAAGAAACCAGTGCTTGAACTGCTGTGACCAAGCACTCTAGTTCAGAAATGTGGTAGCTGTCATATACCAGTTGCAGTTGTAAAGATGTTTCTAGGCCACTGAGACAACCTGGGCCTCCAGTAACAGAAACTGCACCCAGAAGCACTTCCTGGCTGCAATCCTGCTCCTTTATAGGGAGTGCAACCCCATTCAGGGTAGGCAACTGACAAGCTTCTTGGACATGTGGACCATTCTGTCTTGCCAGGATTCAAGCTCAGCTTGTTTTTCCTCAACCATCTCATCATTGTGTCTAGGCACTGGTCCAAGGCCTGCACAGCCTCTCCCAATTTAAGTATTAAGAAGAAACAGAGCTGAGTGTTATCAGCATACTGACAGCACCTTATACTACACTGTATAATGTAGTATAAACACTGACAACTGGGAAGCACTGGCCTGTGAGCGCTCCAATTGGAGAACAGCCTTTAGCAAAGGTGTTATGGGGTTTTGAAAACACTCAAACTCAGGATGAAAGGGAGAAAGCATGCTTGGCAAACCCTCACCATGATCAACTCCTGCCCGGAAACCTATGCCCCCCCCCCCCTGTGGAAGGACGTGTGGATCCAGAATTGGCCTCCACAGTCACTTACGGACTCACTGTTAAAACCGTCTTTATGGAAGACAATCTTACTTGGCTACGAGCGTTCGCCAGAGAAGAAGAAGAAGAAGATAGCACTTGCCCCAAATGCCTAATAATGACCTGTCCCAGAATGCTCCATTGAATGTTAAATAGCATTGGAGATATGATAGTGTTCTGTGGTACCCATAGTGTAACTGTCAGGGGTCTGAAAAATGCCCTCCAAATGCGACTCTGTGGACATGATCCTGGAGGTAGGACTGGGACCATTGCAATGCAGTGCCCCCCAGTTCCCATTCCTTGAAGCCAGTCCAGGAGGATACCATGGTCAATGGTATCAAAAGCCAAAGAGAGATCAAGAAGCAGGAGCAAGGTTGCACTTCCCATGTCCTCCTCTCTGCAAAGGTCATCCATCCTTGCAATCAAGGTGACTCAGTCCCATGGCCACTGCTGAACCCACACTGGAATGGATCTAAATAACCGGTGTCATCCAAGATATGGCAGTCTCACCACAACTCTCTCCACCACTTCGTCCAAAAAAGTATTTGTTGCTGGTTGATAGTTGCTTCAACTCAAGGGGTCCATGGCTGCACCACTACCTCTTTCAAGGCAGCAGGAAACCTTCCCCTAACACATTAAAACATTAACCATGCTCTAGACTTAACCACTCATATACCCTCTACTTGATTTGATAAGTAGGAGAGACTGGAGTCAAGATGGCATGTGGTCAGATGCGTGGCTACCAGTGTCTTGTCCACAACAGTTGGATTCTGTCAACTGATACCAATGCCACACTACATCATATTTGAGGCACTGGGCACTTTGGCTGCAGTTGTAACAACTGCAGAGTCAATATCACTCCAAAGTTCTCCTCCAAAGTTCTCCCTTCTGTCTCCAAGTCACAGCAGGTCTTCAGAAGCTCCAGAGGTCCCTACCCCATAGTGGAAGTCAGTTACCTAACTCGTGATTCCATTGCTAGCATGACTACCATGAGTTGTGGTTGTACAGGTCTGCTCTAGAGAAGCAGGAGTACAACTAATGGGTGAAAATGGTAGAAAAGCTAATTTTGAGAACATCAGGGAAGAGAATCCTAATGGTAGAAGAGCTGTTAACCAATGGAGGTATTCCCCCCCCCACCCACTGGAAGATAGCCTTCTGCCAGAGATGCTTCAGTTCCATCCTGCATTGCAGATCCTGTACTGAACACAGAGCTGAACCAGATGATCACTGAGGTATCTTCTATGAGTTGTATTCCAATAACTCATACTCACAGTAGACCCCTTGAGATCAATGGCTATGTTCCTTAGTTTCAGTGGGCCCAGCATGAGTATGAGTTAATTGGACGCCACATCAACTGATGCCTTGCATCACAGATACAGAGCTATGAACCAAACTTTGATCATCACCTCTCGACACCAAAAGTCCAGCAAGAAGGAATGTGGCACTTCTGTGTTTTATGCAGTGCACTGCTGCGCTAAAAAAATAAATAAATGCTAAACTAAGGAGGTGGCTTGCAAACTAGAAAGTGTGAGAATTGTACATAATGAAATGTACAGAAACACAAGAGCATTTGTTGGGCTCAGGCGGTGCTATTGTAGGGCAAATGCACATGTTTGGATAACATAGCTTGAGGCCCTACCCTGTCGTATTCAAACAAACAAACCTCACTGATAGATTAAGGAAGCCAAGTTGCCATCAATTTGGCTCTCACTAGGTCATTATGTAACAAAAGGATATTTGTTTTGGGTTGTGTGTCACAAAGGTCTCCTGCTTCCCTTCAGCAGTGCCACAGTGTCATCTCTCTGAATAAACAGGCCCACTTAGGATGCAAATGACTTGATGAAATGCCAATAGTGACAGGCAGAAAAAATGGGAACTCAAGACACATCTATGTGTTGATTCAATGTTAATTATTAACAGTGTTTCAGGCATGTGTCCCTTCGTTCTAAATGATATCCTGTTAATGAAAATTACTTGCTCCATGGAGAGACTGCACCTCATGCAGCTTTCTAAGCAAAAGATGAAGAATTCAATTAAGGACAATTTGAATACATGCCAATTATTCCACTCCTTCAAGTTATTTGATTGAATCTTAGAAATGTGTGTGAGTGTGTATGTGTGTGTGTGTTTGTATTTGTGTCTTTTGACTGATAAATTTATATCAGCTCAAATGACTCCAGTTGCCCCTTATCCAATTATCCCAAAGAATTTCTTTATATGTGCAAGACAAACAGTGACCATCATGGTGCTGGGAATTTTATTCAATACCAAAATTGTTTAAATTTTAAGAAGACCACCATAATGTACAGATTGGGCAAATTACCCCTACATACATGAGACTTATTCAGTACAAAACCTCATTTAATTAAAACTACAGACCTAAGACTTAGCATATTCAATCAAACCAGTGGTCCGTAACCCCCAGAATCCTGTGCCCAAACATAGCAGTCATGAGTTACCAGGTTGAGGCAATCCTAGACTTGCCTAATATTCATAATGCCTGGAAATCAGTAACTTGCAAGGTAGGTTCCAACTTTACAGTCTAATAGCTCCTTAGAATTCCTTATCTGGTCAGAACATTTTAACTGCATTGTGCTTAACAACCATTAGTAGTTTTGCCAGTGACAGGAGACACAGTACATACAGTGAGAAACAGAGGCAGGCAGGGATAAGATAAGATAAAATAAGATAAGAGGCAATACAAACTGGCAGAAAAACAAATAGGCAAGTGCTTTGATTCATCTTCATGGAATGACTTGTAATAATTGCACAATAGTGGTGCGATAAACAGAAGTGCAAAAATTCCAGCAATCTGGTATCCTAGGACAACCATATTATTAAGTCCAGGGTGCGGGACAGTGAAAAGAACAAAATGTTCTTCCTTCCATGCTGCAGCATTTTTAAACAACAGCAGCATAGGAAGCTAGTTTAGACTGAGCCTCAGACCATCTAGATCAGTATTGTCTACACTGAGTAGCAGCATCCCTTCAAGGGTCAGGTGGGAATCTCTCCCAGCCCCACCTGAAAATGCTGGGGACTCAACTTGAGACATTCTACATGCAGGGTAGCTGCTCAACCACTGAGCTACGGACTTTCCCTGCAAATAACCACTTCAAAGAGGTGATCTGCAAATACTACCTTTGCTTGCACTGTGCACATTTAGCTCTCTGTTGTGTTATCTTTCTTAGCATTTGCAGAAAGGGGAGGAGCAAGCTGAAGGGGGCGGGCCTTGGGAATATGCTGCCCTGCGCAGAGCCAACATTTGACGCCTTCCCCCAGCCCTCACAGTGCTGGCTTAAGCCAGACTTTGGGAAGGAAGCAAGAGGCTCTGCGATCCTAAATGCACACATGGGAGCAAGTCCCAATGAACTCAATGGGACTTACATTGAATAGACACATAGAGGATTGCACTATAATACCGCCTTGGAGAGTCTGGGGGAAGAAAGCTTAATTTTGTAGAGAATAAAATTTGGCAATGACACATAATGGAATTTCCCCCCTCGCTATGCTCTCACCTTTTTAAGAATTAGTGCCCTCGTTTTCTGATGGTCAGCATCTCATACAGCAGAGCTGGGAGTCATTATGCTAATTAAATCTTTAATAGTCATAACAAAAAAAGGTTTTCATGAGCTTTATTACTGTCACTAACAAGGATGGGGAAAAATGAATCTTAAAACAAAAGTTCCTGTGTTCATTTCACTAGGTGGCAAAGTACATAAATATGGAAGTGCTAAAATGAGTGGTTAATTATCATCTAGCTAAGCAAAATTGCTTCCCGCTATGTTTTATTTCAATTCAGTTAATTGCATAAAGTCCAGTTAAGGAAGACTTGCAATGTTTCGTCCAACCTTCCTATCATAGATATGAGGGTTGGGGAGACTGGGAAAGCAGTTACTGATCTTAACATGTAAATTATAGAAAGACAAAGGGGTCCATCTGAGATAGGAAAAAGGCTTCTATGCGCTATGTGGTCCTTGATTCCAGGTGGTGACCCAATCAAGTCAGGAAAATTAGTTCAGAGGCTTCCATTATACAATGTTGATATGCATCCTTCAAAAAACAAATAAATAGGAAAATATATCATAGATTATAAAAAAACCTTAATGCATCCTTTTTGCATCATCAACGTT